GCAGCAGGGGTAGAGGTTTTGTTTTACTCTAAAACCACCCTCACCCTTTGTGACCTTCTACAAAAATCCCTTCTTTTGGATAGTTTAAGGACATTTTCCCAGAGCCGAGCACTTGCTGAGAAAGCACCATCAAGTAGCACAAGGAAGCAAAACACCTCACTTCATCAGCTTGAAATCACTGTATTTTCAAAAGTACTTTCAAGACTAACTTATGTTCTAGATACTCCGTTTCTTAAATACAAGGATTTCTATTTGTGTAAGCTGAAGCTGCAGATTTAAGCATTGCACAGGAAACGTAATATTCTCAATGCAATTTTGATTTATCCAGAAAGACTAGTAACATTCCAACAAGACATAATAAATACTATACACATAAAATAAAGCTTTAACATTGCTTTCAAGACATAAATATTTCATGCTGAACAGAAATCACAGCAAGGCAAGCTGGTGAGGTTTTCAGCCAGAGCCGACTGAAATGTAAACAAGTGAAAGATTAAATAATTTAAAATTATTTTAGGAACTCGTACATAGGAGAAGACTAAAAACACCCAGTAGGTTCAGCTGCCCAGTTGCCATTCAATCTGAGGCTGGCTTCACTTGAACCTGGAACTGCTGTAGCACCTTGGGCCTTGGGTTTTCCGTAGCCAATGCAATGTGTGTCAATGGCACCAACTGAAAATGACGCAGCAGAACACGTACGCCAACATCATTCCCTCTGTTAGGACTGCGAGATTTGTCTCTGAACTGCCCATCCAAGACATCTTTGTCCAGAATCAGATTTCTTCACCTGACTCCACGTCCCAGCCACAGGACTCCAGCTGCTCATCCTGTGGAAACTCAACCTCAATGTCATAGATGAAATCTGGGTCATCCTTCTTCTTCCTGTTCTTTTCGAAGAGCTCATCCATGATGCTCTTTCTTTTGGCTAGCTCCTTGTCATCAAGTTTGTTCATATCCTCTTCTGGGTCAATGGTCTCTTCCTGCCGAAATTTTTCCAAGCTCTCAGCCAGGCTCTCTCCTCCCAAATGGCCTTTCAGCAAACGGTACAGCTTCCTTAGCTGACACAGAGAGACTCCTTCTAGGTAAGCCTTGTGCCGAGGGTTATTCTTCAGCTGCTCAGCAGCCAAACTGCAGTCTAAAGAGAAAGCTACCATGAAGAATCTTCCCATAAACAGGCCTGTTCTCCCAAACCCTCACAAGTGAGACCTCCAGACTCAGCAGAGCTACTACTCGGGTCAAGACATAGCCCTGGGCTCCTTGGGGAAGACTGCGTTACCCTAAAACAACCTTGCTTTGCACTCCCTGCATACATGAGGAGCTACCCAGAGGTTAATAAAAATGCTGTTACCACCTAGTTGTTCCTCTAGGAACAACTGTTCCCTCTGTCCGTTGGGAACGTTACAAATAAATGCACCCCACCTGAGAACTTGGAGAAGTTTCTGACGGGCATGGTGCGCTGGCGGGTCTTATCCTGGTCGTCATCTTTGTAGATCAGGACGACGGCTGGAGGTCGAAAGCGGATGCCACACTTCTGTGCAATGTAAGTCATTGCAGTTCTTGCTGCTGGGTGAAGCGTGGTCAGTTTCCTCAGAGGTGTCCTCAGCAATGTCCAAGCTCACTAAAAAAACAGAAAAAGAAAAAAAGAGAAAGAAAGTGTGAGTGTCTTTCAGTACCGTTCTTTCTATCAGGTCTAGAGTGCCCCAAGTTCAGCAAAAACACTCAGCCAGAGCGTCAGTCTCCACAACGTCAGTGGAAGCTGAACTTGTCCCTGCGTGCTCTGTGAGCTGGGTACCAGGGTGCCGAGTGACTCCCAGCTCCTGGTTTACCCCTTTGCCACTACTTGGGCTTTGAATTGGCATCACACAGAAGTTAAAATTTAGTTTTACCAGCTAAGTAAAGAACTGCTCAGTCGAATGATACCTACAAGATTTTTTTTCAATGTTTATTCATTTTTAAAGTCTAAAATGTTGTTAAATAGTAAACCAATACATTAGTAACTTCACAAACATCTACTGCAACATCCATTGCTCTGGAGAGCTAGGAATGACTTACCTACCAAACCCTTTTCTGCTCTAACCACCAGGCTTTTAACTTTCTGTCTCCTGACAGTTCACATGAAAACTCCAGGTGTGACTTCAGGGAGAACCTGAGTTTTCAGTAAGGATGTAATGATAAATTTCTGCTGTAAGCTTATTTGAAAAAAATTTTCAGCAAAATGCACCCAAAACAAAAATTTGAAACGTCTTGGAACCCCACTGAAAGAGTTTCCACAAAATTAAATATGGATGTTGCAAGAGAGGCAACAAAGATAGAATTCTATTGTACATATTTGCTTTGAAAAGCTACAAACTGATTGATACGATTCAAATTTCCTTTGTCTCTGTTTCTGTCACTAACCTGGTGATATCATATTCCCTATTTCATATGGTAAGGGAGAATCTTGCATCCATAATGTTGATGTACATAAGACCGGAATTCTCCCTTTAAAAAAAAAAGATTTTAAGAGGAGGGATACCTTTGTAAAGCTTTCTTACAGAATCATTAAGGTTGGAAGAGACCTCTAAGATCATTGAGTCCAACTGTCAACCTAACCCCACCATGCCCACTAAACCGTGTCCCCAGGTGCCACATCCACCACTTCTTGAACACCTCCAGAGATGGTGACTCCACCACCTCCCTGGGCAGACTCTTTCAGTACAGAAATTTTTCCTAATATCCAATCCAAACCTTCCTTGGTACAACTTGAGGCCATTTCCTCTTGTCCTGTCATGAGTTATGTGGAAGAAGAGACCAACACCCACCTCTCTACCCCCTCCTTTCAGGTAGTTGTAGAGGGTGATAAGGTCTCCCCTCAACATCCTCTTCTCCAAACTAAGCACCCCCAGCTCCCTCAGCTGCTCCCCACAATTCTTGTGCTCCAGACCCCTCCCCAGCTCCACTGCCCTTCTCCGGACATGCTCCAGCCCCTCAATGTCCTCCTTGGAGTGAGGGGCCCAAAACTGAACACAGGATTTGAGGTGCGGCCTCACCAGTGCCTGCCCTGCTCCTGCTGCTCACACTATTCCTGATGCAGGTCAGGAGGCTGTTGGCCACCTTGGCACACTGCTGGCTCATAGTCAACTGGTTGTTGACCAACACCCGTAGGTCCTTTTGGGTTATCGTGACCGAAGGATCTGGCACTTGGCCTTGTTGAACCTCATACAATACAATACAATACAATAGCCCATCAATCAAGCCTGTCCAGGTCCCTCTGCCGAACCTGTCTACCCTCAGGCAGATCAACACTCCCACCCAGTTTGGTGCTGTTTGCAAACTTACTGAGGGAGCACTCAATCCCCTTATCCAGATCATTGATAAAGATGTTAAACAGAACTGGCCCCATAACCGAACCCTGGAAAACACAGCTTGTGACTGGCTGCCAGCTGGATTTATCAGAGTGACCTCAGTAGAGCAGTGTATCTGTAACCGATGACAGATGGGATGACGAGAGAGAAGAGCTTCAGAAACAAAGGACAAAATTAATTAAGCTCCCTTATTAGGAGACAATAAAAATATTAACTAATTTAAAGACAGGGGATAATGTTTAACTGTCTACTCCCTCTCAGACTAAAATATACCATTAATGAAATGGCAAAGCCGAGAATTTACAGGTGACGAATGGAAATGGTTTTCACACAGCACATTAGTATGGGTAGAGCCGAAGCTATGAAATGTTTGTGAAGGTCAGAAATGTCTTAAGATTTTAAAATGCTGAGCTGCTGCGTGTGCACATGGAGGAACTGGGAGCTTCTGTCATACTCAAAAGGAGGAGGAAGCATTTCATTCTAAAGGAAGGACTACTGAACTCTCAGGTATCAGTCAGCTACCACAGGAAAGAGGTTAGAAAGTTAATCTATAATCATCCTTTTTCCTCTTTTCTGAAGCATTTTGTCTTGCAACAGAAGAGGGGGAATGCCGGTCTGACTAGCGGCAACAACTTCTGTTTTTCTGCCTTACCACATTTGTCTGTAACCAAAAAGCTCTGGCGAACTCCTCAGTGTCAGCGCTGCCCTTGGCTCTGTCTCCTTTTCGAGTCCAATGAAGCGTTACAGGAGGCTTAAAGATCCAAATCTGCTGCAGATCCTCTATCCCAGCTTAGTGTACAACGCTGAATGCAGGTGTTATTTTTCTTTTGGTTTTAAATATGTGAAAATACGCCAAATGTTAAGGTTCTGCTTTCTCTGGCTATCCTACAGTAAGACAAAGTAAGAAATTGTACCCCAAAAATTAATGTATGTCTCCAAACAAAGAAAAATCGTATTAATCTTCAAAAGCTACTTTGAAGTCAGGTTGAAAACTCTTCCCTCTTTGTTAAAAACCACATAGGAAAGAGTTCATATTTGCAGTAATATTCTCAATACTGAAAATCAACTGCAGCTGCTCTGCCTTTTGCTTTTAACGAGTTTTACCAGTGGGGCAGAAAAGCAGAAGTCTCTCAAGGGCCACTTTCACTATCTTAAAACGAGAAGTGATGCTTCAGACCGAACTGAAATGGTGTTCTGAAGGGTGACTGCCACTCCCGAGAGAGCGCCTCTGCCTCTGAAACGAATCCTTAGCTGAGAAATCCCAACGTGAGAATACGCCGCTCGGGTTTGTGGAAAGTTTTGTATTGTCAGGTAGCGCAGAGACCACAGAGACCAGGCACGAAACGCTGGCTTCAGCAGGTCTGAAACACAAATTGGTGGGGTTTTTTTCCCCTGCCAACTTCTGCGCTGCAGCAGAATTATTTTTTGCCGTTTAAAAGCCGCTTTTTTATTGCTTTTTTTTCCGCCAGACGAGCAAACCCTTGGGGCTGAGGCCTAAACGCTGAGAGCGAAGCGAAGCGCTGCAGGACCGAGCTCGTCCTTCCCGCCCCTCGGCCCTGCCCCTCACCTCAGGCGCCGGCGGGACCAGGCAGAGAAGCGCTTCCACGGCGACCTCCTCCCCATCCAGGCCTGCCCGCTCTACCGCGGCCTGCACCGATGCGGTTGCCATGGCTGCGGCCGCGACGCCGGGTCCCTGAGCGAAGGCCCCCTCGAGGCTGCCCGTACCAGCGCCTGCGGGACGCGGTGGCGCTTTCCTGGCCTCCGCCTCTGCGGACCCGCGCGCCGGGTGGGGGTAGCGGCGAGGC